AAAGTGAGTGAATTGTTGTGAACTATAGTGTGTGTAACTGTGAAAATTAAGTACATTACAAAGTTGTATTGTGATTTATGAAATATAAATTATTTAAAAGTTCTTGGGGCTAATACTTTGGATGGGGTTGCAGAAGAGTGACGTAGTTGACTACATCAATCAAATATTTCGTAATGCCATGTAAAGTAGTTGGGTTTTCTGAAAAGTGAACTTTAAGAGGAATTTTCTTGTCGTTTCTTTGCTTGTAATCAAGCACAAACCTACACAATGGGCTGTCTGTGCTCTGCCCACCACGGGTATCGAAACCTGGATTGTAGCGTTGTAAGTCCGCAGACATACCGCTGTGGCACTGAGGGGCTTTTCTTGTCGAGTTGTTAGAAATTCATTAATGTAATTTGGGTATGTTGAATCCAAATATGGTTTTTCCAAGCTGTATGTTGAGTATTAAGGCATGTAAAACAAAGTAGCACATGGAAACGAGTGAAGAGTAAATTTTATTTCCCTTTCTTTTAGAATTAACATACTTCCGATGGACCTTAATCACTTAATGAGCTTTAGGACCTAACAAAATGATATATAGTTTCAGTTTCTTATTTGCAAAAAGTATTATAAATATTTAACACGTAATAGAACCATGAAAGGGCAAGTTTACATAGGTGTCACAACTTGAGGATAAGTACACTGAAACAAAAGCATAAATGCTGAAAACTATCAAAAATAGAAAAAAATAATATGAAAACACCTGTTTTTCAACCAAGGAAAAACATTTGCTGGACTAAACTATTAGTAAACATTTTAATGCACATGTTAATGACACAATATTTAAAAATTATGGTATATAGTGGTAGATTAAATCAGCATCTTTTTTAGGTAACTGATTATGATACATAGTTCTGACAGTGAACACTAACTGGCAGGTACATTGACACTATCATGTTCTAGTCTCTACACTTGAATGTTTTTGTACAGACAAGTTGTGCTGTACTGCAACTGCATTGCTGACTTTTACATGTATTTTTCAGCCAAAGAATATTGCATACATGTTGTTTACAAATATTGATGGCAAAGACAAAAGCTGTGGCACCAGAACTCTGTCCTCCTGTTTCCACCTCATTTTTATGTGGAGGGGAGGGGGGAATTATTAGATATGGGCAGTTGGCCAGTTGTCTCTAAACTACTGTCTGATGATGAGTATGTGGACAAAAAAATGAGTATTATAGATATTCTGTTAATCAGAAGCATGTTATTAAAATGGCACATGCTTTGCGAGTGCTGTTGACCTCTGGCAAGCCATACATCCTACAAATAAACTCTTTTGCACCTTTCACCTTCGTTGAGTTCTATTCATCCTCTCCAAAGTGTGTCAAGAGATGATGTGTTGCCAAACTTTTCATGTGGTCTTCTTGCTGTGTACAACCAGTTAGAATGTAAAATGGAATCAGAGTTTCCAAAATAATGGGTACATATTGTAGTCGTTCCCAAGTGGTGTGAATGGGAAAGTATTTGGGTTCTGTTGAAATGCCAGCTTTTCGTCCAAGACTGCCTACATTTCATTTTTCTACAGTGAGCCAGAAAAAAGAATAAGTGCATATTGGCTGCACCAACCACATTGTTGGCATCAATTTGGACATGTGTAAAATCATTGTTATATCTGCTACTTCCTGACTGTTCTTAACAAACTGAAAAGGAATTATGCCATAGCTTGAATTTGCAAATATATTTATGCATTCACTGTTGGTATATCAAATATTTCTGGTGACCATATTTGCAAGTTTGATGCTCTATGCATCAAAAATCAGTTAGATCTCTCACAGAGGATTGTTTCCGAGATTACAGTCTAGTCTAATATTATCTTGTGCTTCTTGTAATACCATATTCATAAATCTTCAACTTATAATACTCCAGTAAGAAATACTTAAAGCTTTCTTTTTATGGTCAACCATTTATAGAATAAAATTGCCATAAATCAAAGTTTATACACCATAGGTTTAGATGATATTTTTACATCAAAGTGTCACGTTATGCAACACATGGGCTAAATACCCAGGTCAGGGACCCTTAAGGTTAATTAGTTCACTCATATATCTTGTGGCATTTAGTTATTAACAACAATACACCATTTATATTAACACATCAATTCAAAATTATTGACCAAAGGTTGAGCAATCAGTCAGCAGCACTAATTACCTACAGGCTACTCTTAATCAAATAGCAATATTGACTGTCAAGTTAAAATTCCCCCCACAACTGAAAGCATAGAGCATGTTCAGTGGAATATCATAGCTCATATCTTAAATCTTCACAACCCAAACATGACATGCAAACAATTTGTCATGCTCAACCCACTGTAGGTTACAACTCTTTCAGTGTTTTCAATGGTGCAATAACAAGTACACTTCTTTCTCTTCCAAGGGCATGGAAGTGAGAAGCAGCTGCCCCCTAATATTTCATTGGAGGTAAATGGCTTTCTTGCCTCCCTCCTCCTCTTTTTTTACCACAAAATTATTTCAATGTTTTTAATGGTATAATAATAAGTGCACTTCTTTCTCTTTCAAAGGGCATGGAAGTGGGGACAGCAGCCCAACTAAAATTTCATTGGGGGAAAATGTTTTTTTGCCCACCCACCCCCTTTTTTTTTTTTTACCACACAGAAAATTTTCAACACAAATAAACAAAATTTTGACTGAACTAGGCAACATTTAAGAATAGATTCCTATCAAGAAAGTGGAAAAAAATGCTAGAGCTTCTGGGGGCTTTACCTCCTGGACTCCAAGACGCAAGGGTGAGCGCTTTAGCACTCACAGGGTAGCAATCAAAGTTCTGGCTTCATTTTGATGATTATGTTCCTTTCAACATTTAGCCCCCCCCCCCCCAAATCCCAAAATGGTTCTGGCATGCCTGTTCTCTTCCCTTCCTATTTTGGTAAATTAGAATTGTGTATCTATTCAACATACAATGTTTAGTTAATATAAAATAGAATGATACCTCGAGAGAGTTGAATTGAGCTATCTGTTAATAATAACTTTATTAAAATAGTTTATTAGCTTGTACAGCACACGGTATTTAAAAAAAAAACTTAACCTATAAAGCGCACTGAATTAATAATTTTGATCTTACATTTTAACATAAAGGAAAATAAAATATTAAAAACTTATAATGTGTTCTTCAATTTCAAACTGTTTCAAAAAAACTACAAACTTAAAAATTTAAAATACTTTCAAATCCCACTATTTTTTGAGTGTGTCTAATTTTGTATACATAACAAAACACTTCCTTTATACAGATGATGTCAAATTTTCTCTAAATACAACTTGATTTAGTTTTACTGGAAAATATAACTTATTCTACAGATTAGTAGTATTTCCTCTTTATTTTTATCTGTTCTTATTACAATACTTATAGAATATTTTTGTAATACAAGTCAAAGTGATAAATCAAATAAAACTGTTCAATATCAGTGCCAGTCAATCAATGCACTGCAATGCATGGTGCTAGGTTCAATTCTAGCAATTACAAACCTTCTGTTCAATTTCAGAATGAATTATCCATTTGTATAAACATTTTAGGTGAAAACATTGTATTCATTTTGATGTATTCCTGTTAATTACTTATCTTTATAAACTTTTTTATCCACACAAATGTTATTTTAGGGAATCACATTTATTTAGGTGTATAAAAAGTTTTATAACCATGAATAATTTAACTTTAATTCAAAATTTTTGTCTAAAAATGACAATTCAAAATCTATGTGACTGTTTTAAAATAATATTTAACTCATATCGTATATATATATATATATTTTTTTTTTCAACATGCTGTATATACAACAACATTATGTAATTTCAAATTATTTTAACATGCACCTCAATTTATCAGGATTAAGTTTTAAGATAAAATGAAACTTTTGAATAAGGGTAAAAAATGCTGTTAATTATTACAAAGGACAAAATGCTTGCCTGTTCTAAGCAAAACTCGTATTAGTATCCAACTATTAATGTGGTTTTATATTACATGTTTATTCTTCAGTTTTTATCTGCATTTGTTTTACACTAATGTTCTTTGCAGTGATATTTATCTTGTTCACTTGAAAAATAAATATATTCAAAACAACCTTAACATTAAAGTAACTGTTTAATAAACAAAATAATTAAATAATTAAAACAGATTTTATAATCAATCTGTCCAGTGATCTTGAATGTGATTTCTCTTCTTACTCCAACTACTGTTTTTTAACAATTCAACTCTTTGTCAGCAAAGTAGTGTTTTAAATTTATTGCTTGAAGAAGCAAAATATTTAAAACCAACTTAGCCCATAAAACATGAAATAATACCACAAAGAAACAGTAACATATAAGTATCTAGTCCATCATTCTTTCAACAATTGTGATCAAGTAAATATCAAGTTCTTGTGCAAATAAAAAGTAAATGATTTAAAAAATATGTTAAGCTCAGAATGGGCTATATATACACAAAGAGATGTCAAACAACACACATGTATATATATATATTTTCTTATAATAATATTTACACTCACTGCATGGCACTAATGGCACAAGGAATTCTTTACCATCAAGTATACACTTTAACAGCACAAGAACATAATAAAGAAATACCCCTACAATATACAGACTACAGTCTTTTTGCTGATGTGTACTTACAAATGAATGTTATCCTGTGATATATATATATACTGCCAGGTGATCACATAAAATGTCTGCAGTTTTGTTAAAACTGTACACTCACACAGTTTTCTGACAAAGACTTTAGTAGCAAAGGAAACATCATGGCAATAAAATGCAGTCACATCAAGTTTAACTTTCAGGGAGATAGCAAGAAATATTGGTTAGATATACTGTACCAAGTCTCAAGTACAATTTTCAGTTACTCATTGTTGTTAATAAATTTTTTTTTCAGAATAAATGTTTTGAACTTTAAGATTGTGGGTATGAGATTCATAGCAAAACACTGAAGTAAAACTGGCTGGATTTCATGCTTTGGTCATTTTAATAGTTTAGAAACCTTTAGTGGCTGTATTAATTTTACAAGCACATAAACCAAAGATGAAATGACATACAGCATTGGATAAGATAATGTGATAGATGATGAAATTTTGGCACATTGTGATCAAGTCACACACAGCATAAAGAATAAAAAAAAATTCTTGATGAATAAGATCGGCCCAAAAATGAAAAAGTTTACCAATAAACTTTGTACATTTCCACTTTTTTTTTTTATGACACTTTATTCCAATGTCACAGAAGTTCTGTGGGTCTTTTACTCATGGCACAGTTCACTGTACAATTATCATGCAGTGTTCCCTAACAGCCACTACATTATCTCTTAACTTCCTACACTCAAAACCTTCTAAGATTAGCACTCAAACTCCGATGCAGTAATAGCATTCAAGTCTTTCATTAAGCCTTCCAGGTTGGCCATTTCTTGATTAAGTTCTTCTGTGCTGTAAGATGGCTTAAAAAAAAAAAAACAGAATTAAACAGTGATTCAGTTAAAGCACAGTCACAAACAAATACATTTTAGTGAAACTCCCATACTCGCAAACTGAAAAACAGATAATTAAACACCAGACAATAGGAAGGTTAATTGTTTCCACACATTTTCATTTTGCTTAAGCACAAAGCTGTGCAATGGGCCATTTGTACTGTGCCCACCACAAGGTTTGAACCATCAATAATAATAGTATAAGCTTTAAATTCATTGATTTCTCATATTCTTTTAGTAGAGCTATGATATATTGTTGAGACTTGAGCATATAGCCATAAATTATAAAAAAAATACAATTACAAATGATATTTATTCAAATGTACAAGCTGACTAGAATTATGAATAAACAGACTTTGGGAATTTCTATTCTAGAGGAAGGACAGAGTTACTGTGAATGTATTGACAAGATACTATAAAAATAGTAAATTTGAATGTATCATATCACTAGATCTGTGATGATACAAAACTCTATTTAACCTACTGCACAGCCATATGGGGGACCTCACAAGTTTTTAGCTGTTTTACTGTAGTTACTTTCAAAATTTAAGAAAGATGACTTTCAAGTCGTCTTCAAATATAAATCCCTATTAAAGACCAAAAAGAATATTTAAAACAGCTACTAATCTTCCTAAAAAAACCTAAAATTCTTGCTTTAGTCAATTAATTAATTGTATTTAATAACAAAATCATTAACCTTGTATGTTTAAGTGTTCTGTAGAAAAAAAAAATAATAAAAACAAAAACAGATTTTATTATTTCTGTTATTTGACACTGAAACGAGATCAGTCTAGCAGAAAAACGACAACAAACTATATATCTATTTGCATCATATAATGAATGCACATGAGTAAACTACAAGACAACAGTACTATCTCATGATCTGCAGTTATTAATCTACATACCAGTAGTTCATTCTCCTTCGAAGGTTTAGAAGCAGTATGTGCTGCTGCTGGTCCAGCACGTACATTAAGTGATGGAAAATGTTGAGAAGTTGTAGTTTTAGAGTCTGGAAGACTCGTATTACTTGGTACACTTGTTTTCAGTGGGCTTGTTGAGGGTATAGGTCTTACTACTAAATATAAAAAAAAAGAAAGAAGCATGACTGGAAATGAGGTAAGATACTGATTAATAGGTTAGTCCAATAAAATAAACAAACCTAAAATAAAACAGAATTGTTTTATTATCAAAGCCTTAACATTACTGTACAATTAAATTTTACTATAATTACAAAATACATTTGTTCAGATATATTAGGTATAATAGTCAGTGAAAAATAATTGCATTTCTATACTTTCTAACATATTTTAAAGTGCAATATACCAATAGTTGGTTGTGTGGTACTTGGGGAGGAACTTGAAGTTGGAGGTTCAGGGCCACTAAAGCTCCTCAGAGGATGTCCTAGGGGTCCTCTTCCAAAAGATCCATTACTTCCACATTCATCTTCACTGGTGCCACAGTCACTAGGTGCAATGGTACTGTTGTAAGTAGGAGGGTTTCCAGTTGATAACTGATCATATTTTACTGGAGGTGTACTTGCAGGGGATGAAGAAATATCTGAGGGTGCTGGACGAAAAGTAATACAATAGTCATGCTATATTCTAATGTCATCTATATAAAGAATAGTGTGCACTACATTAAGTACCATTAAACTGTGATAACATAAGAAATTCAGAACCTTAAACAGTTTAGAAGTGCTGGTTGGTTAAAATTACCTATAATTTATATCATATTTCTGATTTAGGTTTAATATTAAATAAGCAAATGTATATACAACAATAGGAATTAACCAGAAATGGCTTCATACAGAAACAGTAGGTAAATGAAATGATTAAATGCAAATACTGTCTTTCATTTCTCATATAAATATGAAGTGAACTAAATAAGAAGCCTCTTGCATTACAAGTATGTATTTAAAAAACATATATGGTATATACAGTTTTCAAAAGCAAATTATACAAATAAACCACATAACTTATTGCACACTGAATTGTCTTTCAATAATAACACAGGCCTGTGAATTTAAGCTCCATAAAAGTTGTTTTAGTTTTAATAATGGATTTTCCATAATTCAGCTACGTAGATTTTGAAAATAATATTCATTTTTTTTTTCTATCAAGTAAGGATTTTTGACAAATTGGGAAGAAAAAAAACTCTTACATAGATCAAATTATTTCGTTTACCACAATAAACATTTTTTATTATTGTATTTGTTAACAAAAATACAAACAAGCTGAAGAAAATGGAAGGACATTGATGTCAAACAAATATGCATCCTCATTCATCCTGATTTTTTGTGTGAAATCTACGTCTTTTAGTCACAAAACTATGTGTTGTGGTCTTTAATTTATGTATTGCGTTATGACGTTTTGTGAAAAATCTGTACGTGATGGAGAAAAATGGTATCATTTTCGGATTCAGTGTACAGGAATTACTGTAGAACATGTAAAAATGTCAAGTCAATGAAACCATTGCTGGCCTGTGTTATATGGATAATACCAAATTCAAAAGTAAACTTACTGCTAAGTTCACTATATTATTGACATTTAGACTTTCTCTTTAGAATCTGGATTGCTCTTTAATTTCATTTAAATCCTTAAAATAATTTGAATGAATGATCACATTACATTTACCAAAGTTGACTGAATGAACAATCAAATACTGAAACACCAATTAACTCCTTCAAATCATTATCTCCAAAAGAAGTAACTTTAGTATGGCCATTGACAATAGGATAATTTTATGCATATTTTGTACTACACATATAACTGACAGAAATTTTAAATAAAATTTAATGCAACATGCCTTAAGTGAGTCTGATGTGGTCATGCATTAAAGATATTTTAAGACCTTAACTATGGAGAAAGACAAATAGTCTGTACATTAAAGAGTTTACTTAACATATAAACTAAGGACACATGTCAGTGTATCTATGGGATAATTTTACTTTTATGAAATACAAGTTTACTCTATACAATGGACTAGCGCAGCATTTCCCAAACTTTTTTGGCCCCAGAACACTTTTCAGCTGAGAAAAAGCATATGGAACACTAGACACATGAAATATTGGTGTATGTTGCATGCGCAGCAACCTCTTGATTTGTATATTATTCATTTAATAAAATTACGTATTAATGAATTTTTACATTTTTATGCTTATAATATATATTAGGTACAAACCTTTCCACTAAGATATTATGTAGAATAGATATGGCATCTTCTATAATTCTTCTTCAATGCGAAATTGATATTATCTAATTCTAATATATAAGAAAATATTTCCTAATAAGTTATGATTGTACAAAAAGTGTTAAATATTTTATTAAAATTTAAAATCATGATTTTCTTAAGGAGCATCTATCAATCTCAGACAGAACACCAGTGTTCCATGGAACATAGTTTGGGAAACGCTGGACTAGCATATAGCTCATTGAAAATGACAGAGCAAGTACTACCACCCCACCCCATAGTACACCCTAGTCTCACATTTCATAGGTAACTGAAATAAATTTTGCAAAATCAAGCTTGACCAACAAAGAGGCAGAAAAGTACAGTGGAGGCAATCAAACATCAGTAAATTCCTTTGTGAGCCAATCAAAATTATGATCATTCATGAAATGAATTTGTGGCATATTGGTAAAAATTGGTTAGATAAACAACTTATAATATATGTAGAAAAGTCAGTGCATTTTGGTAACACTACATTCCAACAATGGCTTTTATGTCATGTCACTTAGCAACAAAAATATAACCTAATATTGTTGTTAGTCTATGTACTGAAAATATAAAATGAAATGTATAGACAACAAAATTGTTTAGATGACTGTTGATTTCTCAGTTTAGTCTTTGTTGATTAAAGAGGTTTGTTTTTATTAAAAATGTTGGTGATATACCAGAAAATAGCTTAATTCAGAAATGATTTAAGTTTCAAATTGAATCGATGTTTTTATTTTTATGATAAATCTTTTTGTATTTGGCTCTAAGCTAGGTGATCTCACACTCTGTCTTTACTTTTAGCTTATTATACCAACACTCACTACACTTTTTAGGTTCCATGGCACACACATCCCTTACAACCCCATCACTACAATTGTAATGGGCAGACAGTAATCGAACTATTTATTCTATCTGAATAAATGCATTTTGGCTTTTATGACTCCTCCTATTTCGAGAAATCAAGCGTGATGTGACGTGTCATACACTGGGTTTTATTTATCATCACCTCATAACTCTGTAGTAAAAAGGTTTGAAGAATAAAAACATATAGATAGTATATATATATTTTCTATTTAAGTAAAACACCACATACTTATTTTATAAAGGCTAGTTACTTGTTCTAATTGTGATGTTTTCAAATGTGATTAGTACTGGCTTTTTGCACATTCAATATTCGAGCTTGCTATTAACAATAATTTGTATTCAATAATAGACGTGTATATCTACATAATCATGTTTAATTTCATAGCTTTTTTTTTAAAACACTGGGCATTTACAAAAATGCTGTTGGTAGTAAAGCACCCATACCTTTCAAAAGGAAAGATAAAAATAGGATGACAACTTTTGCTGGTTTAAGTGGCTTATAAGTGTGAAATGATAACTCATAATCATTCTTTATTGTGATCTTGTAAAAAGAGATTAAAACTTTCTTAATAATTATTTTAAAATATAAGACTAAACTCATAACTGCTGCTCTAACTTTAAATAGTTACAAAAGGAGCTTTAATATGCAAAAATGTCCAACTTGCCCACAAAAGGTGCCATTTTTGACCGTATGGCAAGTTTAACCTGGAATAACAATGAAATTAAGTGCACTTAATGGACTTGTGCATATGTTTGAAAAAAACATGTACAGGTGTATGTTGTTGAAGATTTCTTGAATACAGTGAAGCCACCTGGAGCTGTCCTGTGTCCTTGGTCATTAATATCAACATTCAGGGATTCTTAAAAGATACTTAAATTATGTTACTGTATTTATTTTAGGAGAGCTAATACTGACCAATACAAATTAAATTTTATAATTTTGACAAAACAAAATCAAGAAAAAACACATAAAATGTATGATTCTGTATCTCTTCTTCTTACACTGACATATTCTATACAAGTAGATGGGAAATTTAAGTAATTTGGTACCAAAGTACAACATTTTGGGGAGACAAGAAATAGAAATTCAGCTTAGTAAATGTGAGTTTTCTGAATAAAACAAAGTACAGTAAAATTGATAACTATACAAAATTAAAATTTGTTTATATTAAAGATGATATGTTGAAAATCATCAATCAACAAAGACACAAAGCTTCAAACTCCAATGCTTCACATACAGACAAAATGTATCGGACTGGAAAGGGTTAAGGAGATTAAATGAAAAAATGATGATTAAGAAGATTTTATTTAGTATTGCAATCTTCAAAAAAACATTAAATATTCAAATAAACTTAAAAAAAAATTACAGTTCACTCTAAAAGAGTCATTCCATAACCTTTGGTGAGAACCTACCCTTCAGACTACAGTCCACTGTTAAATGCGGACGAGTACTGCCATACTGTTTTCGTGGATAGAATGGATGATTTTCTTCTCCACTTACAGTATCATAATGTTGACTTAGTGTCCCATTTCCAACAAGAGTAACATTTTTATTCTCTGGAAACAGAAGAAATTATCATTGGATTCAATCAAGAATTCCATCTGTGTGGGTTCCATTTATTTACCCAAGTGACTTTTTAAAGGATGAGGTAAAAATTAAGCTATCAAGTAAACTTTTCACAAGCATTGTAATCCTTGATGCATGTTACTTATTTGGCATCATAAAACTTTTAATCTTTTGTTTTGTTCACATTATACAGTTGCTTTAATGAGAAGAACAGTGTTTTCTAACTCAAATAAAGAAACTCATCTTCCAAAGAATATTCAGTTTTGTTATTAAGCACAAACCTAAGCAAAGTATTACCTGAACTGTGATAACTGTAAGTGTGGCATTTCAATTTTTAACATTATAAATGCTTGAGCTTACCATTGAGCCACTGAAGTAGCATATTGAAATAAGTAAACATGCTTGAAAAAAACTATCAGTCTACAATACTTAAAGACCAACAGAATTAAATACTATTCTCAATAAATATAATAGATGTTATATACAACGAAAAGTATACAGAAATTGTGACTATATCAACAACTGGAGGTGAAGAAAGACTAAAATTACTTCTGATATTGTAAAGTGTAAATCTATGTTTGTTCTGAGTGACAAAAACAAACATACTAAAGTAGAGCAATAGTTCATTTAACCACAAATTCTGATATATTTTAAATAATAACAAGCATTATCACGTTTATTATTTGTAGATAATGTTTTTGAAATTTTCAAATACTTACGTTCTTTCAGTTGAGCTTGTGAATCAACAGGGATCATGATAGGCTTAGCTCTTACAGCTCGATGGTGGAGTGACAAGTTATCGCTCACTTTATTACTAGGATCTGTTTCATATACATTCATTCAAAAAAAAGAAGCAAGGAAAACATTTAAATAAAATCAAAATCAAATACTGAATAAAACAAAGTTAAATAAACATCACACTTTTCAAACCATTCCCTAAAATTATATCCTATAATCATAAATATAAGAAACTGCTTACTTTAGGCTAAAATATGTTGCTTTTATTAGTACTTATATATCTTCATATATAGGCAGTTAGTTCAGATGAAAACTGAAATCTTTGAAAGATTTACCAATTAAAATTGTATTTTTAGAAAATATATTAAGGAGCAGGTGTTTTACAATTTAATTAGTATACTTCCCATGAGAGAAATTGTAAATCTTAAACATTTAATACTAACTCCTACTTTCACGCCACTGAAAAATAAAAATTTGTACCATGCTATACTACAATTTATTTACAGTTTACTGAATTACTTTTAAATTTCAAATAAATACATCTTGTAAAAACTTCTTTAATATCAAACAAACTGGTAGATAAACACTTTCAATCTGTTTCTTTTTAAAGATGCCACTTGTGACACTACTTATTAAAAAAATATATTATAAATGTGACGTTTCGAGCAATATTTCTACCTGACAACTGATGCAGAAGTGAGAACAAAAATTTAAAAATAGTAATTTAAGAAACTACCATCAAACATGTTAGTAATTAAAATGTAATATCCACATGTTTTTTTTCAAGTTAATCACAGTCAAGGCTTTTTAATTTATAGGAGGAGGCCAATTCAAGATATTACTAACCCTTATTCATATTTAAATTTTTCTATAATTATTTATTCAGATTTCTTCTTTGGTTGTTCTAGATGAAACTCTGGTTACTGAGTAAAAAACACTGTGTACCAGTACTAACCTAGGTAGGAACCTTTTCTGCCATCTAGTGTTTCCAACACTGTCTCATCCCCGAGATCTTGTGAATTGCGAGGAATTGGGGTATCAGTCATAGGTGCCTCAGCACTTAGTTGTTTGTCTGAAGTCTTGGGCTCCATCTGATCATGATGTATCCACAAGTCAGGTGGCTTAATGTCTTTACCCTTTGCTGTATTCTTTCCTCCTCCTCTAAACAAATTCAACATAACTATCAAAATTAAGGATTTATATCTTAAACATAATTTGAAAAATAAAGTTAAATTATACGTAGATAATGCTCATCTCAGTATTATTTTCATTTACTTTCACCTAGGCTAAAGACAAGATGAATTAATAATGTATTGTTTATGCATAATTAAAATAAGTCTTTTCAAAAAAAAAAAATGCTGATGCTGCTTTGAATAATATAATCACAATCTGAGTAATATGTATTTAGGTTTATGTTTTTGAAAGTTCATCTAATTTAGATAAAAATTTATAAGAACTTATTAAAAAGTATATAATATTTACCCTTTTTTTGTTGGTCTTATAACACAATCATGTTGTCGTCTGCATATCATGACACTAACAACCATTATAAAGAGCAAAGTAAACACAGAAACACAAACAATGATGATGTGTACTGTGGTATTAGTCAACCCACTGCCATTTTCTGAAAAATCAATATCACAGATTTACATACTATACATAACAAATAGATCATAAAGTATGTATAAACTGTAGCAATTTGTAAAATATTAAAAACATTTTGATAATAATAATAGCAGCATTGTTGTCTAAGTAAGAAATTAAACAATGTCAAATCATAAATATATATATATATATATATATCCATAATTTTTTACATACATTTATCAATAATTACAGTTTAGATGTATAAGTACAAGTTGGAAGTTAGAAACCATTATAAAAGTCACAATCATAAAATCCAGAATAAAAATAGTCAGTCTTTTGCCTTTCTCAACAGCTAAATGTCTAGTGTTGTTGTATCTACAATTAAAATGATGTGTCACACAAAGAAAAGAATACAGACAAAAATAAAATATTCCTATATATGATGATGGAATGTAATACAACAATGATTGAAGAGGAAGAAATGAATTTAAAGATACAGGTATAAAATATTCTGAGAAATTGGGTAAAAATAAAGGTTAAAGTAAAACTTTTATATTTCACCACTAGTCAAAATTAAACAAAAATTCTAATAAAAATAAATAAAACTGTTCCAAGATAGCATGTGCAAAGAAAATAACTGTTCAAAATTAAGCAAGCAAAATTAAAAAGGATAAAACAATTGAAAATAAAAGGTAAAGATAATGTAATCAGTTTAAGTTTAAATGTCAATTCCTTCACTTATGAATTATCTTCTACAATACACAGGCCAATATGTTATCGTTCAGTGAAGGACTGTTTCTCCTTACAAAGATATCTTTGTCATATTTCAAGTTTAAAAGGTTGTTCTTTATGTAATTCATTATCTGTGGATTTTGCACAAAGCTATCCGAGGGTTATCTAGTTAGGTTTCAATGTCAATTGCTTCATTTATTAATTCTCTTCTACATCTATAGACAGATATATATAGAATACATAGGCCAACCTCTGTTAATTTTCATAGAAGGATCTTTTCCCCCTAATAAAAAGAGCTTCTTTATATTTTCTACCTGTAAAAAATGTCACATTTTATTCAAGGTTGTTTTGCACGTATCTATCACTTCTTGGAATATACAAAGGTACATGAGAAATATCTGCACTAGCTGTCCCTAATTTTGAAGTGACAGACCATACGGAAGAAAGCTAACCAATGCCACCCATCAACAACTCTTGAGCTACTCTTGTCAGAATGAATAGTGGGACTTTACCATCACTCTTATAATGCACCCTTAGCCACAATATAGGAACATAATTTATTTTTAAGAGACAATAGAACATGAACCCCAGACCTCAACTCCATAGTCCAGCACATAAACCAATGCCTCGTTCAGCCCAGGTAACCTACAAGACATTATAAAAAGTTCACCTAAAGCCTTCTTTTTGTGTGGCATTTTTAATATCATGAGCATTCATGTAAAGACTGACCAGTTTTTTTCAATACAAGTCAGAGGGAATTTTGTGCTTTGTATCTTATATAAACTTATTATAAACTTGCTGAGGTTTAAAAACAGAAAATATGTAACTTTTTTTATTTTTTCATGGTTTTGGATCCAGTCTAGTTTTTAGCCTCAATTTTCTGATAATCTTATGGCTCTGGGTAGCTACATTGTTATCGATGTAGAGAATAACCCAAGTGGTACACCATTTGAGAAAGGTAGAAGCTGAAATAATGAGTATTAATAAAGTTTTTCTTCCATAATTTGTGATTGTTATTTTATAAGACAAGTAACTAAGCAATAGCAGTAATAATTTCTTACCTTGAAGCTTTGAACCTGCTGAATGTGCTGTACCTATAAATTAATGTATTAAAAATGTTTTTGTTAGTTTGCATATCAATGTAGTTTACCGAGTTCATGAGAAACAAAACAAGAGAATATATATTAGAGAAATTACACAGTTTATAATATTCAACGGCTTGAAGTTCTTACATGTAATTGTCTTATATTTAAGAACAAACATTTTTAATACAACATTTTTCATAACTTAATAAGGGGAAAAAAAAGAAAAATGCAAAAATTCCTTTAGAACTATGACATAATTATACTAACTTTTCTCTGTCATGTAGACCACTTCTGCAGAAAAAGGGCCATAGCCTTTATTGTTGCGTGCCTGTATTTTGAAGTAATAGGTTGTTGCTGGGGTGAGTCCTTTCAACGTCGTTGTCATTTTGTCTCCAACAACACCTTCCACCACCCAGTTGATATCTTTTTGTGTATTGTCCGTAGTATAAAAGACAACATATCCTTGAAAATAAGAACACAATATTTATCAGAATTTTAGCTTTAACTTTTACATTTTCACCCAAGCATATGACTTGTAATAATAAAACTCTCATGCCTTTCAATTTTTCGTAATATATGACAAACACTAGTACAATCTATATTACAAATAATGTACCAAAACAGAAGATAATAGTAACTGAATGTTGTTTTGACTTAAGTTAAAACATTAAGTTTTTTTAACACCTGTAGCTCCATAAGAATATTTGATTTATTTTTACATTTTCACTGAAGAATGTGATAGACCTTAATAAAACACTCATTTCTTTTAGAAATCTACTCATTATCTAAAGCAGACTATAATAACATATCCAAAACAAGAATTCTGTTCAATGTGCACATATTTGGCTAGCTGTTAAAATAAACTGTGTTAAAAAACTATATAGTACAAGTTTTCTATGTGAATACAGTTGCAGCCTTAAGGGAAAAGGTGTAATTACATCAGTATTTCTAAACTGAATAAATAACTAATTTAAGTTACTATTTTGTACGAAAATATTTTAAAAAATCATTTTTAAGAGAAGTTCATATTTGGAAGCAATTAACAGTGGCAACTTTCTTTCTAATTATCATTGCATAAAAGATAACTTCAAACAACTTTTTTCAATAAGATGAATGTAAGCATGGCAATTTAAAAAGTGTATTTTATGCATTATTCACAAAGCTGTGAGAAACTGACTATACTGTTTTATGTAAACATGGATATATATTCAAAACACTTTTATTTACTGTATTGAAAAGGCATAATACTAAATGTATAAACAAGTAGCTGTTTAAACTATATTAAACAATTTAAATATTTAAACAAGTTATAAGCAAAGAAAGTAATGTCATACAAGTGTTACAAAAATAATGACTTTAAAAAAGTTAAATAAGGAATTTAATTTACAATTAGTATTTTGCTTATTTCTTTTCAGAACAAGGAATGTAGAATAGAGATTTTAGAATAATTATTAGTTTAAAACAGTTTTCTGGTGTGTTATATAACAGTAAGCAAATGTGTGAGAGCCAATTTGCTGTGTTTACATAACTTTTTTTAAATATTTACAGTTCATGAAATTTCAAAGATTTTACTGTTGACTTTTTCACTGTTATTATCACTAATATGTTTAATGTTTACTAACATTTTCTATCACCATCCTTACCTGTGATAAGTCCATTTGGCTGTTTTGGAGGTTGCCAGTGAAGATTTACAACTGAAGGATCATCTTCAGAAGGTACAAGAGTAAGATCCCGAGGTGGAGAAGAGGGAGCTACAGAGAAATGACAGATAACACTGTGTAATTTCTTTGGGTATAGTATTTAAAAAGTACAATATTCAAACACATTAAAATTTTAACAAGTTACCTGATAAATCTGTAATTACCACTTTGTATCATGTTGCAATGACAGAAGTAGTACAGTTTCTTAATGTAAAGAAGAATGAATATCTAAACAAGCTTATCAACATATCTAACCACTACGTTTCAATGAAATGTTTTTAAACTTCCAAACTTTTACATCATGATTAATAACAATATATTCTGATTAATATAACAACAAGTATGGGGTCAAATATAAAATCTACAAATACAGATAAACATTTATCTTGTGGCTGGTTTATTTATTAGTTTAAGCTCTTTGAAAATTTAACTAAAAGGTAACATAATTTTTGTTATCATAATTTGTTCACTAGACAGATTGTTTTTCCCTCATGGATCACTAAATTTAGCAAAAACTTCAGAAATCATAGCTAACACACTATTATTCTGAAACAAGAAGAAGCATAACAACTTGAAATAATATTTTTTCAAGTTAGGTAAACTTCAACACCTAGTTACATAATGGAAATGGTATTTAAAAATTCGGCATAAGTCAGTTTAATTTATACATAAATCACCTCTTCATCATTTCAAAAATAACTAAATACATCTAAATCATGAAAGTGCAAGAGTTGTAGTATCTTGTATACAAATGTGTTCAATACTGCATTAGTAAAAAAATAAAATTGTACATAAAACACAAAAAACTCAAAATTTAATTAACATGGAAATTCTATCCAGGAATGGATTAAAAATGTGATAAAATGCTCAACCAAGCTAGTGGTACTGACAAATTTTGAGAAATTTATAAAGTCAAAAAACCAAAATTTCATGACAACCCATCACTTATATACAAAGAGAATATGTGCATTTGAGTTGTTACTTTCAATTTTCATAAACCAGACTGTACCTTCTTATGACAACAAAAGAACTGCATAGGCGAGGAAATTACAAAATGCAAAATATAGTAATGGTGAAAAACTCATCAAATTAAAATAATTTTATTGGTAAACATGAAAACAACGTTTTAGGTAATAGTCCTTCATTGGGTTTCCATTTATAATAAAACTGCAAACTAAACTCTTCTATTAACAGTTTTATTCTCACTGGAAACCTGATGAAGGGCTGTTGCCTGGTTGTTTTCATGTTTACCAATAAAATTATTTCAGTTTGGCGAGTTTTCACCATTACTATATTTTCTATTTTCCATTTTGTACCTCTTATGATTCATGTTGAAACTATTATTGATCATATAGTACGGATGTCAAGGACTGACCAGGAAAAATGTGGCAATAAAACATGTTTTAAAGTTAAAACTTTGATACATAAGTATAATACTTGAAATTCATTTTTTGTTAACATTTGACAAAAATGGTTTAGGCCCTCTCCTCTTTAATTTCGTGTTTCACACATACCTGCTTCTTGTGTAGTATTAAAAGCAGTCATACTCCAGGTACTTTCCTGTTGTCCTAGGATCACCTTAACAGAAAACTCATATTGTGTGTTTGGCTTTAGGTCATCAATCATACAGTTTAAATCAGTAGAATTATAAAATCTGGACTTGGCATGAGCATCATATGTAAATGGTGTGTAACGAACAGTGTAGAAGCGGTTGTCTGAAATTATCTGGTTTCGAGGAAGAGTTGTGTCAGTCCAATAGAGTACAACAGTTGTTGGAGAAAGAACAATGGCCTTTAGACCAACAGGTGGCAGCATTGGAATTAGTGGTTCAGGTGCTGTGTTGAATAAGGAATGATGAGTGAGATTATGCAAGTTTCAAATTACGGAACTATTTCATATATAACTTTTATAATTAACAAAAAAAGAATCCCCTCACTACTAAATTTAACATACATCCAAACTAAAAAAAACTAGCATTTTTCTACAGCACAACAACTCATTATTAATATATAATTCAGGAATGGTTTTAGATCAGTATTTTGTTTTTATATAAATAAACAGTCAAGTTTTTACTGAACACAATGTTTACATAATTTCTCTAATGCATGATACAAAAAAATTCAGAGATTTTCAAGATATATTCACATGAAATATTACTGTGATTATAATAGTAAAATCAAATTGAAACATTGGACTTCATGCATACTGTGTAAATACTTTTTCAAATAATAATCACTACCAGTTTATGCATTTACTTAGGTAGAAAAGACATAAAGGTAACACTCTGATTAACAAAACACAATAATAAAAGATAAAAGTATATATTTGATCTATTTTCAAACAATTTTGAATTTTTTAAGATACAGTAATAATTTCCTTACTAATGGTTTATCAGTTGGGCTCTTCTGGTCTCTCTGAGGTTTAAAACTCTATAAAAACTAATAAATTCCACTTGGGAATATAGTTGGGACATTTATTGTTATGTTTTTCTAATTTTGTAACATTAAATTGAAATCTGTTACAAACACAATGCAGTAACACCTTTGCTTTCTATTAGATAAACTTAATAAAAATAACCTGTTTTTGTAAATGATTCAATGACTCTCAGACGTTTGTATGGTCTTAGAATTGTTATTAATAAATTTTTTGTGGCTGACTAAATGACATCCATAAAAAATGGTATTTCATTAAAACCTATTGAAAAAACACTTTTAAGCATATTTACAAGTGTTTATGCATGTGATTAATGATTTTCAGCAGCAAAGAAGTGAACCACAGGAAATACTTTTTTTAATATAATGATGATACAGAATTGAAATAACTAAGATTTAAATACAATAGAAATTTATAACAAATAAAATATTACCAGACAGGAAATATAACATAGTAATTTAAATATTACTAGCTAGCCACATGAATGGCAAATAAGCTTTGTAACTTATAGCTTAATCTAAACTATCATATATTCATGTTTATAGTTTAAGATTCTCTGCTTTTCTCTAAACTTTGAGAGCCCAGTACTTACTGCTTTTCACATGAGTTCTGACTGTTTCATAAATTGGTCTGCCATCTCCAACTTGGTTGAAGGCTCTCAGACTGATGACATATTCTGATGAGGGCTCTGAAAAAATAATATATAGAGATAGTTCATATTCTATTAGAAAAATAAAATATTATTATAAAAAAAGTACACAAGTAATCAAATTATCACAATAATTTTTAACAAACAACTTACTGTTAAGCGATGAGAAAGTAATAAAACTCATAAACAATTATATTAAAAAAAATTGAACACAAAAACTATTGTAAAAGTCAAACTCTAACAAAAGAACTGTAAAATTAGGTTAGGTTAAGTATTTTTTGTGTACATACGAAGATTTTCAATGGTGTAATGACGTTGTTTGCCATTAAGAACTTTGGTGTACACATCGGGAAAACCAACACCCCAACCAATGGTGTAGCCCCTAATCATGATGTTTTGGTTACGAGGAGGAGTCCAACTAACAAATATTGATGTAGCACTTGGCCGTGCCCTGAGGCTCTTAGGTCGGTCCGGTACATTAGATTCTGTTCCAAACAATGCATACAATAATAATCAAAAAATATATATATCTGCTACTCAAAAGTTTTCAACAAGTAAGTCAAATCAGATAAAAACTCATCACTCCAATATAAACAGACTGACAGATAAGTTAGTCAGGAGAGAAATGGACAGATGGAACTGAAAAACAATAAGTGTACGAGTTATTTTATAATTCTGATTACAATCAATTTAACTCCACTAATATTTTTTCAAGTATATGTACCCATTAATAAAGTCTCAGTTATACAACTAAATACTAGTAATACCAAGTTTTTACTTTTCAAAGTGCTGTCTATCATACAGTTAAGACATATTCATTTACAATGAATCAGTTTTCTTACCATCTAGATCATTTTCATATGTATCAACAGTAAACCACTGTGTTGATGGTCCACTACCATTTACAGAGAGAGCTGAAATCTTGACACTATAGCGGCCTCCTCGTTCCAAATCTGAGGGCAAAAATAAATCTAATATTTATCCAAAAAGAATGACAGCAATAAACTGACTCAAAAACAATAATGAGTAGAAATTAATTTTACAATCAACAGACCTATATCTGAAAAAATCTCTGAAGTATCAGGAGCACTTCAAATAAACACTCATATGTCTTTGAATGTCTTATGAACTTTTTTAATATCTACAATACAGAAGTTATAAGTTGAAAATTAAAATTAGCTGACCACTTATATGTGTCATTAGAAACATGGCTCTCAAAATTATTTAGTTATTACTAAGTCAAAAATAGAGTTGCATGACCACAGTTAACTTATTTCTGAGTAGAATCTTAAGGGGGGACTTTTAACCCCCTTCATTAGCCTTTGTTTACTCCTATTGCATAGATAATATGAAGTAATAACTACAAAAATAGTTATCAATATTTATGTATGATACCTTTGAAATTTCAAACAAAAAGTGAGCTGAAAATATTTCTTTCACTAATAAACATACAATCTACTCAGATTTCTTTTTTGTGACCTTACACTAATAATAAAATGTTATATTAAATTATTTGTTGTTCAGTACTGTTATTTCTCGTTATATTATAGTCCTTTTATATTGAACAATATAACAGCCTTTCATCTATATGAATATCAAAATATCTTTTATTATCTGAAAAACACTTCTTACTGAAAACTAATAACATGTTAATTTTTTAAAGACATGTAACTGGATTTTAATGATTACCTGTTAAAGCATAAAGCCTTCTGTTACCATCAGTAGTCACAGTTTCACCACGTCGGCTTCCTCTCACTTTATAACGAATTTTATATCCAGTAATAATTCCATTCCTAGTCTCTTTAGGAGGGGGTTCCCATCGAACAATTAAACTCTATAAGTAATTGACAAAATAATTTTAAACAATTATATTGGTGTGATGAAAATATAACAACATGATATCACACTTCAATACAGGTGAAAAAAATTAATATTCGAGTGAAATTTCTAACACTTTCACAGATTACTCTGAATTTACAAATTTAACTGTAAATAAAACTGTAATCAAATCATTTATCTTGAACAACAAAATATATAATTTTACAACTTACTGTGGAACTAGAGGCCTCCACAGAGACATTTTGTGGTGTTTCACTTGGTGCTAGAAATTTATAAAATATTATACATGAAACATTAATTATAGAAGGAAAACCAACTTACGTAACTTTAGTATAAAGTTTAGAGGGCATACGTTAATGCATGTTAATAAATGATGTCTAGAAACCTCAATAAGGAATGAAAAAGGTTTTAAAAGTGATTTTCTTTCAACTTCTTTTTTCATTAAAAAAATTACAATCCCAAAACAAAAATTAGGAGAAAACATGTATATATATATAAATGCATGTGTGTGTAATTTTTCTTAGATACATTATTATTATCCCTTTAACTAAGTGTCATAGTAACAAAATAATAAAAAAACTGTCTTTTAATGATACTGAATTGAACATAGCCTTAGAAAAACTGAACAATCTTTAGAATTATATCATAAAAAGAAATATCATTCTATGTTCTTAATAAATTATCACCAAAGCAATCTTCTAACACTGTTACAGGATATGTGAGGTTTTTCCATTAATAATGATCTAAATGTAATAAGAAATATCATTGTATGTTCTTGATAAATTATCACCAAAGCAATCTTCTAACATTGTTACAGGATATGCAAGTTTTTTCCATTAATAATGATCTAAATGTAATAAGAAATATCATTGTATGTTCTTGATAAATTATCACCAAAGCAATCTTCTAACATTGTTACAGGATATGCAAGTTTTTTCATTAATAATGATCCAAATGTAATAAGAAATATCATGATCTTTTACAGGTGGAGTCCTATAATAATTTCTGAAGAAAACACTACAGAAGTGAAATCTAACATGTGTAGTTACATCAGAAGATAAAAGTTGTAAATTAGTACAATATGATTCTAATGCTCCTCTGCAGGATGAACTAAGTAATACTCATGCTTTTTAAAAAAAATTTTGGAATAATGTTCCGACTGAATATTATTTCTAAAGTTTAAGAATACTAAGATGAATTTCTTACTGTCTGAATATGTCCGAGCTGACACCTCATTAGTGCTTACACCTGGCCCATTTTGGTTAATGGCTACTACCCAAAAGCTATACTCTGTAAACTTTTTCAGGTGTCTGATAATGTAGTTGGTTTCAGTGGTGGTGATTTGATGCTCGGTGGAAGTTCCAGCTTCCATGTAGTAAAGTTTGTACTTATCTATTGGGCCATTACGTTTGTCAGGGGCATGCCACTGAATTTTAATGGAAGTAGGTGAAGTAGACAGTGCACGCAAGTTCTGTGGAGGACCTGGAACATGCACTATTAAAAAGGTAAGTGATGAATGATTACTTCTAAAGAATATATATATTTCACTGTAGCTGTTCAATGTTAATAACAAATTATAAAAAATTCATATTTACACACTATCACTTATTACTAAACCACTTTCTCAAATACACATTACACCTTTATCTAATTCTTAAATTGAATTGTCTATATTGAGCTTAAATAGAAAGATATTTATCTGATAATGAATGCATAATTTTTCTAAGTTTATAATATGTTTCTTAATGTTGCTCCTGTTAGAATTGTGCAAACAATGCCAAAATATGATGCCTTTAATAAGTATCATTATATGATGAGCAGACAAATTGTAATACTATAATTCCTCACATACTTTGTTTTACTAGAAACTGGTGCACATTATGAAGCAATTAGTATTAAAATTCCAAGTTTACCATTTTATCTTTATTAATCAGATTAATATTCTACCTCTCTGAATATTTGAACCTAATCAGGATTCTTTTTCAAATTATATGAAACACTGTGGCTTATTTATCTTATGTGGTTTAGCATTTAATTGAATTAAACAATAAAAGTGGTCAAGAATGTGATTTATGAAGAAGAATTTGTAATAACTTCAAATTACAAATAGCTAATTTTGATACAGAAAACTTAAGATCATACTAGACCACCATGACCTGTTGGGTCAACCACTATTCAGAGGTTAAGAAGAATTCAAGCTAATTTCAATATTGCACCGAAATGTAGGTTTATTTTGAGATAATTGAATTAAATATTTCAATCCATTCGTGTTATTCATAATTCAAGAAAAGATATTTGATTGTTGATCAGGAATAAAAGGAAAGACCATTTCATTTTTCAAAAAAGTGAAGTAAGAAGTTTCGTAAAGAGCGTGAACGGTAGTGTGAATGATTTTTTGACTGAGAAAATAAGCAAACAAACAATCTCAGAGTTTTAGTAGTATATAGATAGATTCTTCAATATCTTGTTTTTGTCATCTTATGCCTTTTAATGCAGATGAGAACATTGACAGGGAAATAATATAATAGCCAATGCTCGGCGAGAGGTTTTTGTTTATAAAATTTTGTTGTTGTTCTCAACTTTATTTTTATTTTATTACCTCGTCTCCTAGTTACTATTTGCAAATAGTCAATAATATTGTAGGTCCATTTTATTGTTGTTCTTTTTACGTGCTGTTATAACACATTTTCATCTCATCATTTAACTTCTGTTGTGCATATATTGTTGTATAGAAGATATTTTAAAGTGATTCATCAGGTGGAAAACAAAGTTTTATAATAATGGAATGTACAAAAAGTGACCCCAAAAATGGTGCTAACTCAGTAACCTGTGGCCCGATTTTAACAAAACTTGTTTTATTCTTTTTGTATTCTCATTTCATCACAAATATGGTGCTATTGTGCACTGTTTTTGCTGTATTTAATTACAGACAAGCACACAAACAAACAATCTCAGAGTTTTAGTAGTATATTGATAGAACAATAACGTATATCAACCTGTTCTTGATGTTCCCAGCACAGAAACAAATAATTACTTGATGATTTTGTAAACATTGAGCTAAAATACTGTTCCATGAAAAAGGCTGTTCAGGACAAAAATAAGTAAAATTAAAAACTACAATCTAGATCTATAATAATACACAATTACTAAACAAATAGATATTGATAAACTGTTATCACTAGGTAACTACATCAGCCAAACTATTTTCACTGGATGACACACAATCATTACCTAGCTACCTGATGGGATATTATTACTAGCCAACTACATGTTGTCAACAGAGAAGTCCAAGGTTCATATGGTGTTGAGATTGTGATGTGTGCCAACTGCTTGCCACTAGTGCACAATGGGCAATTTGATGTATTCTGAAGCATTTTGAGACAGAAATTGATATGAATTACCTTGATGATCAATAAATTTTACCAATAAGTGGCCACTTCTGGCTCAATCACAACTGATTGCATTTACAAATTAGAAAATGTGAGTTTCTCTAGCCTTACTTGAGATTTTATACTTGTGAATGACTATCATGCTCAGTTCATGAGACTTGGAATATATATACCAAACTATTACCAACTAGCTATATCACATGAAATAATCATTAGTAAACTACTTATTGCATAACTGACAGGACATAATTACGAGCCAACAGCCTGTAACTAAACTATTACCAACTAGTTACTTGATAGGACATAATTACTAGCCAATTACCTATTGCCAAACTAATAAAAATTAACTACCTGAGTGGGCGTAATCATTAGCTAACTTTCTCCTATAAAATCGTTACTGGACAGCACTACACTAAACTTTAACAATAATGTATTATTACATCTTTAGTTAAGTTCCTTGCTAATATCAAAATATAGAAATTTAACCCTTTTTATCTATATTAAAAACACATTTCAAAACATAGATTATCTGATAGCTTTTGCTTAATACAGATATAGTTCCTTAATTGTTATTGCACAATTCTTATCTCACTGTTCTGCAAAATCAATATTTTATCCTGTTTCTCTATTTAACAATTAATGTTTGGAAAATGTCAAATGCAAAAAACAAAAAAGTTAAACATATATGTATGACTGAAATAAATAAAACATCAAATACACTTTTTTTTATGTAAACTTGCCTTCAGCTTGTGTTTCAACTCTAATCTCATCAGAGCTACTTCCTGGTCCATGTTGATTGTAGGCAATAATGCGAAAAATGTATTGTGTGGAAGGACGAAGACCCTGAATGCTGACTTCTTGTAACCGGGATTTGGTTGTATTCACTACCCTCTCTCTAAAATATACAATATTTAAAATAAATTACATTCTAATCATAATCTGTCTAGTAAATATTTATTCTCTTACCACAGATTATTTGATGAATGATTATCAAAAATATATTCTAAATTGAGTTTGACTCTACAACTACGTCCTATCTCTCCATAGAGATAAATAAAATACATTGCAATGTGAATTTCAGTGTATCAGTTACTTTCCTTCTCTATAATGAAAAATGAGCAAAAAATACGAAAAAGTAAATATCTCAGTGAGTTTCTTTCTACTACTGCACCGTTATGATATACAAAGAATAATTATTGTATGTTCCAATTAGAGTTCAGTTTCATTCTTTTTTATCTCTGTACTATACAATAAGAAACTAAAGTACTGTCATACCTGAATTTGACATAATTCTTTAAAATACACAATTAGAATAGTCCAAGGTTCAGTTAAATACAATACTTTCTTCATAGAGTTTCAAGTTATGTGAGTCTATCCAAAGCATGTTTATATACACTCATCATTCTTTAGAATACAAGTTTTATAATTCTCCTTAATCAAACAACATATTTAAAATTGCCAACTATTATATGATTAAATATGAAAATCTCTTTAAAACAGTCTCCCAAAGTATTCTTCTCAATTGTTTTTTTCAGAGGAATGTTCATTAAATTGAAGGAAAAAATTACATCTGTTTCTATTCACACAGTAAAGATTTAAAACATTTATAATATTATAGAATTTGTTTGTTTGTAGTTAAGCACAAAGCTACACAATGAGTTATCTGTGCTCTGCCCACCACAGGTATGGAAATCTGGTTCTGGTGGTACAAGTCTACAGAAACATCACTGTGCCACTGGGGGCAATATTATAGAGAAAAAAAATAGCTTCAAAGAATTAAGTCATCAAATATTCTAAATATCCTACCTGCTTGAGCCTTCTTCTTTATAATAAACTGAGTATGCAGTAATCAAGCCATTTGTAAGAGCTGGTTCTTGCCATGACAGAGTAACAAATCGTGTGGACACAATAACAGCAGTTACTCTTTGAGGACTGGTAGGCACTTCCTTTTGAAGTGGTTGGTCACCTATAACGTCCATGTGAGGGATAGTTACAGATGTGTGGGTAGTAGGGGTAGGGCGGGGTGAGTCTTTTCATATCACAAGTCACCATACAGAATTTATAGAATTTGACAGATTATTTTGGATTCCATTGAGAAAAATAGTCATAGAAAAAGAGAGATTAAAATAGTGAAAGACAAAAATAGTGAAAAAGAAATTATTAAAAACAACAACATTCAAAGCCACAATAATGTCAGTTTATAGGTTAGGCAGGGTGCAGGAAAATGGACGAAAAACAAGCAAAATAAATATGTTTTTAAATGCAAAAAAATTACATGCATAAATGTAGTAATGCATGCTAAACACACATATGCATCCTTAATATTTAATAAACTTAGATAAAATTCCGATTTGTTTCTTTACAGTATTCAATAATGGAATGATGCTTTCAAAAATTTTACAAATACCAGTACTCTCATTTGTTACTATAAAAATACTGTAAAAAAAAAATACAAAAAATTACAAGCTTTGCACCTTTATAAACTTATCTACTGCTTTTAAGCACTCTAAAGGATTAAAAGTGCATATTACATATAAAATTGTATTTGTAATTTTATAAAAATACATAATATGTGAATGAAAAACATTTCCAAAATAATTTACTGAACTGATTGTCTCAGTCACAAATGGCTCTCAAGCATTTGAGTTAAACCAGCCAAACATACAACAAACATGACTACAGAAGTTGACATTTAATTGATGTTCTAAAAAAATTAAATTAAAAAGCAACATAACATCATTAATCAATTAAATAATTTCACAGCTTTAAAATGTTTATCACAAAGTATTATTTTTTGCTTTTTTCAATTGTGTAATATATGTTGCATGATTTAGATATATGGAGATGATTAAACAGCCTGAAAACACAAAAGGATGTCTATGAAAGGTTGAAAGATGGTAATATAAATAAGTAATTGGTTTTGAACCGACACATTAAAAATTAAAGTTTAACCTTCTGGTAAATCTACCATGCAAAAACTAAAGTTCACAACCAACATACTCTAATGGCATTTTAATAATGAGGACTCTTGGATATATTTCTTTTAGATGAAATATCAGATGGTTAGATCCAAAACACGTGCACAGGTACTATGGTTGTAAAATCTGAATTCTGATAATTTCTTTTTAGTTGATCCTAATATTTTAGTTTTCTTTCTCTCACAACATTGTATATAACACTACTTATGCTATAACTTGTAACAGTCTAACTCTCCTTAGCCTATAGACATTTTTCAAAGGTAATAATAAAATAATATATTTTAAAGTCACTACATTCTTGTTTTATTAGTATTTGTGAATGCTTTAAGGATGAATCAAGAAATAAAATACCTGCTGCTACTTTTTATTTTACTGCTATTGCAGTGAATTAGCAAGCAAAAGTCGATCTGGATAAAACTTAAATCTGATACCTTTTGTTCCCATTGGTATTACAAGACTGGTGTTAAACAAACAGGGTTAGCAAAGTTTCAGTATTAACAGTTTTTCATTTTATTGTCTTTAATACTCTTCAAAGTAATCATATGAGTAAAGGATAACATGAAAAATTACTAGCATAAACCGGTCCCTTAAAAGTACATCAAGAAGCTGAATTAATCTTAAAAAAAAAAGAATATAATGTTAATGGCCATTTTGTTTTATCAGTAATAAATTTCATTTCCTTATGATGTACATTCATATTTAATAACTTAGCTATCTTTCTATAAAGAAAATTTGATCTAACATTTTATTTCATAGTGTTTGTTCTTTAAGATTCTACTTCATGTATAAATTCTTTTACTTATAATTAACTATATGAATGTAAGTTTGAAAAGAAAAATACACAGAGAACAAAAAAATAAAGTAAGCATCAAACCATAAGTAAAACATATTTACTTGGATCCAAAATGATAAGCTGGGCAGAAGCCTGGATATTTCCTGCTGGATTTCTTCCGACACATTGGTAAATTCCTTGATCAGAACGAACAAGTCCCAAGATGCGAAGGTTGTAACCATTTACTATTTGGAAATATTCACTTTGTATAATAAGTTCCCCATTCTTGATCCACTGCACAGTTGCTTCAGGTTGCCCATAGATCTCACATTCAAATTCTACGTCTTCTTTCTCATAAGCATACCTATTGTGTGGTTTCTTGATGAACTTGGGAGGAACTACAAAGAAAAGATGGAAATATTCAAATATTTTCTTCAAATATATACTCTAATCCAACTATTTTACAAGAAAAGCATAAATTTTATTACATAAGAAAAAGCAGGTAGCATCAATAGCTTAACAAAACATAAAGTTAAACATTAACAAGATCACAGCACTGTAAGAGAAGTTATTGGTGGAATATATATATGAAAATTAAAATGCCTAACAGAGCTTTTGTACGATATTTGAGAAAAAGGATGGTTCAAAATGTTTTTTGATGTGATATTTAAAGAGAGTAAATATTCCAAAGGTCATATATTGCATACTAAGTGTTGAGAAAAAATATCATTAAGTTACTTTTGGTCAAACTTTAAATTTATAGTCCAATAATTCCTATTTTCCAACAAATACGCAATCCAATATGTAAAAGATAAATTACGGTCCAGTTAAGATAGGTTTAGTTTTCTAAAGACTGACTGACTTATGGAATGAGTTTCTGTCAGCAGTAATGGAGATTAGCACTTTAGAAAAGTTTGAGAGAGAAATTTAAAATTTTTACTTTTCTCAAAAGTAGATGTGGAAAGACCTTGATGACTATGTGTTATAAGGGTTATGCCATTGAGTTATTTAATAATAAGTTAAATTTATTCAAAAATCAAATTTTAGACATGGCCCCTAAATCCATGCTAAAAGCTACAATACCTGAAATCACTGTAAGTTTAGGCCAGTGGTTTTTTGAATAACATGTATATAGTTTCATCATCAAATTTTTGTTTGTTTGTTCGAAGTTAAGCACAAAGCTACACAATGGGCTATCTGTGCTCTGCCCACCACAGGTATTGAAACCCGTATTATAGTGTTGTAAGTCTGCAGACATGCTGCTGTGCCACTAGGGGGACCAAATTTTTATAAAAAATTAATAAGATTAAAGCCACAATATCACATATCAAGAAGTTACTATCTTGCTTTGAAATGATTTTATGGTCATCAAAGAAGTGTAAATATGAATGCATTATTTATTTCACTTTTAAATAAGATTATTACTTTATCTTCTAGAATTAATACTTTTGCATATGTCTCATTATAATGAACACAAATCATAAATAATGCCTTTAATACAAGTGGTAAATTATAGGAAATTTAAATTCCACAAAACCTAACAAGTTTGAAATATTAGTGGAAATGTGTTTTTAAGTAAAGAATTATTGGTGCTATTATAGCATGTAATCTACACAGATACTATCATCACCACCATTTTAATTTTTGTTTTTTTTTGCAATTGGCACCAGTTATTATAAATAATGCTTTTAAACTAATAAAGTACAAAATATCATTACATAACGTTTTTTGGGCAAATATAATTGAAATGAAATAAGTTCCAACAATCAAAACTAGCACAATTATAACCTAAATGGGAGGTACTCTTTTGGAACATGCAACTTATTACATAATTATTATTTGCTGAACAAAAACATGGATAGATATAAGTCATTTAGCAAGAAATTATGTTTTAGTGAATCATTAAAATGGTGATGATGATAGTATCTTTGTAGACTGCACGCTATAGTGGCAAATAATTATCACTAAATAAATGTCTTTTCTATATTTGTTATTTTAAAAGATAAGTTTAAACTAATTACCTTGTACTTCTATTGTTGCTGAAACATCTTTTGAATCAATATGATTTTCTGCTCGACACATATAGATACCCTCATCATCTTCTTGAATATTTCTTATTTCTAAACTCCCTACACCAAGTACTTTGAAGCGATTCTCAAATTTTCTACTGAAGTAACAAAAACACACACTAAGATTCTACTTCAGTTACTTTGAACTATAGAAATAAACCCATTATAAACTAAACTATCTAAAAAAAAAGACAAAGAAGCACAGGTGACAAGTTGCCAGCATTAAACAGTTGTCCTTCACACTTTGAACATTACATGTTTACCAATTTTATTAATCAAGACCAAACCTACATTAACAGTAATGTCTAATGAATTCAATAGCCTAGATCTAATATTGTGGAATTATAATTGGTTAATGAATGTACGTTGCAAGAACAGTTCAAGTTTTGATCTTCTTTCATTTTAAATATGGAAGAATTACAGATGACTTGATTTAAGTATTCAAAATTGGAAGTGGGTCAGGAAATATCTTGTGCTTCTACTGATACTGCCATATTATTTGGATCAATGTTATTATCTTTAACAACACCTCAGCTCTTCTTAGATGTGTTTTATCCCTAAACTCTCAATATCAGTTAGCTAGTAACACATGGGTAAAGTGTGTATAGATAAACAGTGAATTAACAGAGAATCAATGATTCTTTTAGACCAAACACAGCAATACTGTGAGTAGGTTTGATTCTCTTACTACAGATAATATATCAATCAGTATGTTAGGTAGAGTGCTGAAGCAGGCTACTAGACTGATATCTGGTTTAAGTAATTTGAACAATGAGGATTTGAACATACAGAATTGAGAAAATAAATACAATTGTATGTTTCACAAATATTTCATTTATTACTACCTTTTATTTGTCAGTAAGTAAGAGCAAAGGAACAGAAGGCTATTTTATTCATTAAAATCACTCTGCTCTTAACAAAACCAAACCAAGTGTAGCTTTCACATCTGGTTCTTTAAACTAACAATACACCATATCATCAGAAAAAAAAATCATCCTTTAAGTTTAGAATTAAAAACAGAAAAATAATTGTGCCAAAGAACAGGTCTAGACCTAGACTTTCAGAGCTTAAACTTATTACTTTTAATATTCAGGTTCACATTTCCTTCCTGTAAGTTTAACCACTTAAACACAAAACCCATAGGCATATTATGTAAAACATGTACATCAAGCTACTTCTAGCTACTATATGCTTAAAAAAAAAGTTGCTTTTACGAGCAAAACTATCTAGTTACATACAAGCTTAAGCTGGTGGTTTATGTAGTGTTATCCATGTGCATAATGATGCTTCAGATTTACCATACGTTGTTAGCACGGGAGGAAACTTAGGTGTGTTGTATACTTGAGGTGATGATGTGAGTCATACAGTAACACGGGAGTCTTTTTTTTAATTAAGAAAATATTGTGTGAATCCAGGTAAAGGATCCTGTGTCTTGTTAGTTCAATTCTAAAACCCTCAGCCCCACAGCACTACTATAAAATTCCAATCATGGAGTCAAGTTATATGTTTAGCATCCTTATCCATTACAACAAAACATGCTAGACTATATACTTTAGACACTTATCTATTTTGTTTAGTGTTTTATTGTTTGTTCTTGTGTTCCTTTAAACAAAAATCTTACAAACAGTCATCAAAATAAATTAATGGAATGAATCATCAATTTAATGGCAATAGTTAAGACTAAAAACAAAAATAGGACCATGATCTGTGGTTTGGTTTTTACTAACTATTATTATAAATTATTCATATTTAGGTAATAGTTCTTGGAACAAAATATAATACCTTTGTATTAAACACATTACTATTCATGAAAGAAGTCACTTACTTCATTTCAATAGTGACACCATTTTTTAACCAGGTGATATGAGGTTGAGGATTACCATTAGCTGCACAGTCTAGTGTAACATTTGATCCTTCGGTAACTATTGTGTTTTTTGGAGTGACAATGAATTCAGGACTCTTTGTTTTATAAGATTCAACTGAAAAAAATCATAAAATCAGTATTGGAAACAATTTATATTTTGTTAATTAACATAACAAGCAAACAATTATACAGAAAGTTTGAATACAAAAGAGAAGGAAGTTCTATGACTGGTGTTTACAATTTATATTTTAATGATACTAAATGCTTTTTATGATGGTTATTAATCCTATCTTAACATTCACTTTCTTAAGAGTGTGTGTGTGTGTGCGTTTTCTTATAGCAAAGCCACATCAGGCTATCTGCTGTGTCCACCGAGGGGAATCGAACCCCTGATTTTAGCATTGTAAGTCTGAAGACTTACTGCTGTTCCATCGAGGGACTTTTCTTATATTCACTTGTTAGAATGTAGCTTAGCCTGTCTCTTCAAAATCTTAAACTTGTGTTCTTTCATCCTATTGTCTGCAGAATACAGCACAAGGAAATCAAAAGTCCTTATTCTATCAACCCCCTGGATAATCTTGTAAACTTCAGTTAGATCACCTCTTACTCTTTCTGGAGAGAAAATGAGAAATATGAGATAACTCTTTTTATATCCAAAATCATCCCAGCAGTCCTCTGAACACGTTCCATTAAGCCAATGTATAGTATATGAAATTATATTGCATATTTGCTGTAGGTTCACTGCCACTTTACAAGAGTTCCAGTATGGGAATTCATGATTTCTTAAAAATTAAATGGTGGACTTAAAAATTTACTTGTCTGAAGGGATGGGGATGGGAGCACAAAGCTACACAAGGGCTATCTGCACTAGCAATCCCTAATTTAGCAGTGTAAGACTACAGGGAAGGCAGCTAGTCATCACCACCCACCGCCAACTCTTGGGCTACTCTTTTACCAACAAATAGTGGGATTGACCATCACATTATAATGCCCCCACGTCTGATAAGGCAAGCATGTTTGGTGGAACGGGGATTCGAACCCACGACCCTCAAATTGGAAGACAAGCGGCCTAACCACCTGGTCATGCCGGGCCGGGGGGGGGGGATACCGTTTGAATATAAAAAACAATCCATTGTTGTCACTATGTTATGTAACAAAACATTCTTTAATAATGAGGTATTTTGGTCATGGATCATGTTTCAGGAATTCCCACAAAGATATTAAATTAAAAAATGAAGCCACATTGACCATCCATAATTATTATCAAATAGCAAATCTAAAACATCTAAGGCAGCATTTTTCAACCAATGCGTCATAATCGGGTATCCAAAATATGTGAAAGTATTGCAAACAGACTTTGAAAATATCTAATAGTTTATCTATTTATTTAGTTTATTTTTAATTAAGCACAAAGCTACACAATGAGCTATCTGTGCTCTGCCCACCACGGGTATCAAAACCCGGGTTCTAGCATTGTTAGTCCTCAGACACACCACTGTGCCACTGGGGGGCGTTTTTATTTAGTAAGTCATATGTTTTTGTACTAAAGCTATTTATTGAGTTGGAACTGGCCATCAATATTTACAAATGCAGCAACCTTACTTGGTAAACTAACACAGACAAGTACATACTTTTTTACTCAAAATGGTAAGCTCCTCCTAAGACCAGACTTGCAAGCAGCCTTCCAGTCCTTTAAAACATTACAACTGCTCGATTGCAAAGCCCCACAGTGATAAAGTGCAAACAGACTGCCCACAAGAGACTTATCCCCCTTGTTCTTTTTCATTCAAAAAGAATATGCTGCCCAAGATAACAGCAGCTTTTACTTAGTCTTGGAAAATTACATGTTATACAACTATGTTATGCAAAACATTTTTAATATTTGGTGAGGAAATAAACTAAAGTATGTATACACTACCCTAAACTAATTTATGACTAAAATCAAAACTCTCTTATATATAGATATATAAAAAAAGCTATGAACAAAAGCCTTACAATAATCTAGACTAACTGATAATGATCCTTCAGCACTGATTCTATATTTGTCTATGTTTGATGCATTGCACCGATATCCCCCTTCATCTGCAACATTCACAGCTTTGATTTCAAGAGCACCACTTGGCAGGACTAGCATGCGTGAAGAATTCATTTGTAATGGCTGATCATTCTTCTGCCATGAAACAGTAGCTGGAGGAATACCTTGAATAACACAAGGAAAATAAGCTGTTTGACCAGGAAACACAACCGTATCTTGGGGCTGCTCATCAAACCTGGGTAATGCTGAAAAAAAATTAAGATGAAAAGAAAACTGATATATTGAATGACATTTCAAACAAATTTTAATATTAAATACAAGTAACTGTATGAATGAATACAAATGATACCATCTTACAACTTTATAAGAATGAAATACCTCAGGTTTTATTAAAAGTTGCTTTCCCACTGAGTAAGAAAGTGGCTGTATCTTTCAGAATTTATAGGATTATTTTTGTTGGTTTATTTCAATGTGAACCATACATATAACAAATCTGTGTATAACTATAAATCTGAATAAATCATTATGTACATCTTTTGGCCTTGGTAGATATTCATAGTATGTTTTTCGTTCTTTTGAAATACAATGGTAATACTTTTTATAATTATTATCAATAGTAATTTCTTTATTTTTTTTACTGAAACTATTTATCTATGTATTTATATATTTACACTGTTTGTGAAAAACAAGAATACACTGCCTTAATAACCACAAAGTGGTCATTCCTGTAGAGAGAAATTGATAAATGTGAGTCATTTTGTTTCGATGAAAGGTGTTAAAGGTTCAGCAAGTGAATATACAGTTACATAAAATAGTTTGGGTATTTGGAACAGTATGTAGAACAAACTGTGTAACATTTGGTCAAAATAATTTGTCATCTATAATATATCAAGTGAAGTTCATTCCACTGGTTCCTGGAAATGACATTAGGAGTTATCATTGTAAATAAAAGAAAAAAAATTATAATTTCAAGATTGGCATTGTGATCTGTATAGTTAAATGAAGCAGTCTGAATTTGCCAACCAAAGTAGGGATTGAAAATTGTTTTAAAATCAATCCATCTGTTACCACTTTACTTGTTTGTGTACTTTTTATTGCAGCATTTATTTTGTTTTGGATACTTCATATAGCAATTCTACGAATAACCAATGATTCCTACTTTCTGAAAGTCGGTATTGAGCTGTCTTTGGCAGCACGGGGGCTGCTAAAAACAACTCCTTATACTTTCGATCTCTTATTGTAAAATCTGCATGTCTAACCAACCCCCCCCCCTACATCAACTTGCTCCTTAAAAACACACACACACAACTAATTATGGACCTACGGTGTTTTGTCAACTTGAATAACTGCAAATTTGTTTATTTTTTTTCCTTGTGGTGCATTTAATCCTTAGCCTAGTTGAAATCTAGGGTAGAAAGTTTGGTCTATGGTGACAAGATGTGGTAGCAGTGATATTTAATGCAGTCATGGCGGAACACTTTCAAGAAAATTATGTGCTCAGTATACTTTTGTATTTATGGCTAAAATTCCAGGTCTCTTTAAGTTTAACTGCTTTCTCAGTTTGGGTCTTTTTACATAATATATTGTTACGTATCTGCTTGTTTGATAATTTCCTGTAAAAATTCTTTCCGAGAAACTTCAGCGATACACGTCCTTTCTTAATTAAAACTAGTTTATTCTTTCTCGTTAAAAAACTTTGAAATACACTTAATTTGCACAGTTACTTTAAACTTAACTACTTTTACAAACACACGCTATAATTTACAGCGATTCACACACTTTACTTACGGTGCCTACTGCTCGCTTGACTCAATTAATTATTTTTCTTTAATCTATCTTCGGCTTATATACTAAAAAAGAGGGCGTCTAGCAAACGCTGGGACATTCGTGAGGTTGCCCGATCCTTCTAGAAACTCCAGAGTCGCGTGACTTCCGCTGTCGTAACAATATAGTAGCCCTTCTACTAAAATTTCGTTCGTCACATTAAATATGTATACTTTTTATTTAGAATGGCTTTATATATACAATGTTATTATAAGAATGGCTTATAATAACATCTGAACACTTGCTTATTTTTAACCATTTCACACAATTGCACTCTTGTTAACTCAGCAAAGCAGGAATTCAGCAGACAAACCTTGAAAAGACGCTATTTCGACATGCTAAAGGCGTCAAAAATGTCACTAAACATTTGTATAAAATTGAACAGAAAAAAATATATAATTCTATAGAAATTTTATGTATCCAGGATAGAAAAGTTTCGTTATGATGATGAGACACTCCTGAACTTATACATTATAGCATCTATATAATAAGACTTAGTGTGTGTCTATCATGTAACTCCTCCCAAACAGCTAGTCACACCGACTTCTGAATGGTACCTGACGAATCGTCTCGGTCCCGAGATTTACACAATGGTAAAACTTTTCACCTACACCGTTAGGGAACCCGAGCATTTCATGAAAACACGTTTACGGGAATTCCCCAAAAGCGGCTTCCAAATTTGGTATTGATTTACATTAGAGCACGTAAATAAATAGGCCTAGTGATTACTGTTCGTAATTTGGTTAAAGAAATTAAATTTGCATTATAGTGGCAATCATCATTAGACTGAAAAAGTGAAATATAGTAGTTCAAGCATTAAATTTGTATTATAGCGGCCCTGTAAATGTGGGTCATAGGCCCATGGGTCCACTTGTTAATATATATTCACTAAACAATGAAAATGTATTGCATTAACACTATTCAGCTGCTTTCGAGTGATTTTGTGACTATACAAATTGGCTTCTTTCTTTTAATATCACTGTTAGTAGTGTTACCACTAGTGAAATTCACTACATTTGTTGCTAGTCGTTTTGACATTTTTTTTGGTTCGCTAGGAAAATCCAAAAGTCACTAAGTTGTCAACACTGCATGTCAGTTACAAAAGCTACCGATACTGAGAAAAGTAACTCAATAGATGGCGATGCAACAGAATAAGCAAGTGATTGTAGGTGAACTATAAAACTAACGGTTTAACATAAGACATTTCAAAATATTAGTTTGAAAACTTAATACTAAATCATGAGTAATCATAGAGTCACCTTACATTAAAAGTAATGAACTGTAATGTTTAAAAATAAATCTAATGCACTTACATGCGACTTGAAGCTTTGCTGTCCGACTGACAATTGTACCAATTTCTTCAATACTTGCGAGGCATTGATAAAGACCTTCGTCAGGTCGTTCTGTGCGAGTATGATAAACACTACTAAAATATAAGGAACCATTTGACAAGACTGACCTGTGGATAAAAAACAAAATTCTGTTACTATAAATGTCGGTGTATTTATTAAAAGTTTAATTAAAATAAATAAACATATATAAGCTGCCGGCAAAAATATAGAATTCAAGTTTAAACTGATTTCATTGTTTCTATATTACGTTATATTTTACGTAAGAATCGCTGTCGGTGGCTCAAAGGTAAAACTGCAACCTTATAATACATAACGCTAAAAAAATCAAGGTTCGATACCCCCAGTAGACAGAGTGCAGACAACTCATTGTGTAGCTTTGAGGTTAACAATAAACAAAACTTAAGAAACAATATTTTTACTGTAAAATGCTCTTTCTTTGTGGTTTTGACTAACAATATAATTACTTTCTCAGGGAAATGAACTTAATTGTTTTAGAAATATATTATATGTTATATTCTAGTAGATATACGAAAGTATGTAATATCGAACTTCCAATTGCTACAAAACAATTCATAAGAAATTTCGATCTAAAAGCTATCATTTCAAAGTTCAGTCACCAATAGCATAAAAATGTGAGTCATATGGACAAAGAAGATCTATAAAACGAAAGTCCCCCTCCCAGAAGAAAAGAAAAAAAATTCAAACTCTAGAGGAGAGGAAGGCCCAATGTTGATTACCTTTCAAACATGGAAGATAAACCGAAACTATGATTTTGCTCTATAAATCCGCTATTTCTTGGGAGTAAATATAACAAAAACCTGAAAGTTTAGGTCTATAATGGTATTAAAAATGAAGATAAATACCTTAAGTTTATTTTAATAACGGGCTTAACCTTAAATTGTTTCAAAAAATGCTAGCTCTAAAGTGGTTAAGCGGTACGATAGAAATCAGGTTTCGATTTCCGCAGTGGGCAGAGCACAAGCAGTCCATTGTGTATTTTGTGCTTAAAAACAAACAAACAAACAAAAAGGTTAAAGATTAGACAAATGTGAATTCGCATTGACAGTAGTGAAAAGGGCGAATGACTACGTCCGACCCAATGAAATAAAGTTTATTTTCAATTGACTGGGCTCATTGGGCTACAAATCGATAGTGGCTCGGCATGGCCAGATGAGGGCGCTTGACTCGCAATCTTTGGGCTCGGGTTCGAATCCCCGTCCCACCAAACACGCTCGCCCTTTCAGCCGTGGCGGCGTTATAATGTGACAGTCGTTGGTAAAAGAATAGTCGAAGAGTTGACGGTGGGTGGTGATGACTAGCTAACTCCCCTGTAGTCTTTCACTGCTAAATTAGGGAC